GGCACAATTCCTGCCGTCCTGCCGTCCTGCTCTTGTCAGTCAAGCCTGCATGTGCGCATGCTCGCACTCGGCTGCCTTGACAGCTGTAGCCTGCATTCGCAGTCCTCGCGGCACCCCGGCGCTGGTGTGCCGAAGTTGCAGGCGTCACGCTTGCTATCGCAGTCACTCCGTGCGGCCTTTGCGTCAACAAGACATGCTTCTGGCATCAGGCCCACGGATTCATTGAGATCGTGGGCACCGGGCATGCTGAAGCAAGGCCAAGCCCGCTAGTACCGAGCCTGATACAAATATCTACAAGTCAAGTTCTGCGTGTTTCGGGCGGGAGCACCAGAAGCTCCTGATTCGTTCGTCCTGCCTTGGATCGCCTTGCCTCGCGCTGAGGAAGCTCGCAGCCAACGGAGCTGCTCCAAGTGTGTCCGCGCCTGTACTCCACCGATCGCGCGTGCGTGGTTACATTTGCCAAAGAAGGCAAGCATGCAGGCTACGGACACGTTCAAGCAATTATGACCTAGTTTGGCTGACAATCCACACGCACTCCTGAAACAGGCCCCAGCCTGAAAGACCCTCGCGCCCAGGCAGGTGCAACATAAGAAGTTTGTGAGGTATTCGTCGTGTGCGCCTTGTCGTTTTCTTGGGTCGAGCAAGCATTCTGCTGCTAGCATCCGTGCCAGAGAGAGTGTCAGAGGCAGAGGATTCAATCTCAAGGCTGGGTGTGCTGTCCACGTGAGATGTGCCTAAATCACTTACGATGTGCTTTGCATAACACAGTGCCAGCTGTAGCTTTGTTCAGCCATGGCAGAGCTTGAAACTTTCAAACCGATCCGGCCCTAAAAGCTGAATTCGGCCGGCAACCGCTCCACTTTGTGGTCACATGCTGGCACTCATGAAAACACCAGTCCGGATACACCGCTTCAGTAGGTGTCTTTGGCAGCAGGTTCGTGAAGACACCGTGCCTCTCAGATGCCATGACGGCGAGGCGACAGCAGGTAGTTTTCCTGAACTTTCCGGAACTAGGGCTCAGGTTGCAGGAGTTGGAAGTCACTTGTTTTGTTGATGGGCTACTGCGTCAGGTGGTGGAGGCTGCCGGAGCCGGTTGAGGATACATGCAGATTTGCAGGATCAGGATCTCAGATGAATGGGGAGCAGATGATGATGCACTATGATCCAGAAGCACCTCCGAAGGAAACCACTGAATTCGTCATGTTCGTAGTTGCTATCACAGCATCATTTTTGCCATTCCCGTCTCAGACCTGAAGACTAATCAGCCCCCGTCCACACCCTACGTCCCTCTGAAGATCGTGGCTACCTGTCATGCATGCCACGCAAATGGAGGAGCTCTGCTCCGGCCTCCGACCGCTCTTGCGCTCAGAGCTCAGGACTGCCACAGACAGGTCGGCTCAATCGGCCAGGCCAAGGCCAGCAGCACGCTTTCCCTTACAAGGACACTCCTGCTGATTTTGGTGTTGTGGCCGCAAACAGCTGAGGCAGTGCAAGGCAAAGCCTCAACGTGGAGCCTCCGCAAAAATGGACGGACTTGAGACAAGTCTCTTCCTCCCCAAGCTGTTTCGGGCATCGTCACTTCTATAGGCTCTGGTGCCAAGCATCGTTCAGTTCTGTCTCGCAACCTGGCCATGTCCAACGCGACCCCGTCGATCCAAGGGAATATTCAACATTGACCGGCCAGCAAGCATCATCCAGCTGCGTCACGAGCACACGAACTTGCTGGAGCATCATCATCGATGCCACTGCGCTGCCCGTATACGTTTCAGAAGATGCAGAAGCCCTTGAATTCACATTTCTTTGCCCACGGCTCAGTTCCATCTCGTTGCTTTGTGACGTTCTGTGACAGTTCCACTGCATACTGCGACTGCATGCTAGAGAGAAGCAGATGGGACTAGTCAGATGCACCAGCTTAAGGAAGCTCAGATTGCACCAGAACCTTCAGCTTTCCAGCCAGACATGTCACGCAGGGATATCTCGAATGGAGGGCTGCATTGTCGACGGCTGATGCAGCCACAGCCACTGGTGCAACTGCAGGCGCTAGGTATGGAGTATGGTAGAAACTGACCCGTCGCAGGCGCCGAAAACGACGGCAGCAACGAGTAAGCGCAATTGGTGCCACCTCCGCGATGTGCGGAAGTCGTCTGACGCACCAGAAGTGTACCGAAGCGTAACAAGCTGGCCTTCAGATTGCAAGCTGTAACGGCCGAGAAGCTCTGAGAGGTTGCTGTCCGGACCATCACGAAGCGCTGTACATTCTGTGCTAGTGCTGCAGCCGAGAGTGCAAAGTGGCCTGATGCCGACTAGAGCTGCGCAGCGCTGCACGAGGCTTCGAAGGCTTCGAGGTAAAGTCGAGGGGGAAGGGAAGTGCAAGAGAGAGCTGCGCAGCTCGCAGCCTGGCAGCGTCGTAGCGTCAGACGAGTCGAAGCCGGGCCCTCGCAGAGATCGCGCATGGGCCACTGGGCCACACGGCCAAGGGGCGAAGCAGCTTCGCAGTGTCCCGGCGTTCGTTTGACGTGCCTTTGATGTTTCTTCGCGATGTCAGAGACAATTTTTCGGAGGCTTGAAGCGATGTTCTTTGGGAGCTTTGCTCCAGGCGAGAAGGCTTGTGGTCAGAAGACAGGCCGCCACGGCCAAGCAAATTGGCAGGCTCTGGCACTTGCAGGAGACCCGAGCATTCTGACTACAGAAGCCTTCAAAACTCTGCCCTTTAGCACATGAGCTCGCGTCGGAAAAGAGCCGTGCCATTTTTTTGCCAGTCACCATGACGAGGTTGCTATGTGCAAAGGCTTGCGGCCATCAGAAAACAGGCTGCAACGGTCAGCTTTCTTGGGCGCCAGGCATTGCTGGAGACCTGTGCATCCTCACCGCAGATCCCGTGCATTCTGACCGCACAGATATAGGTCGGCCAGGCTGTAACGGTTAAGTAGCTTGGCGGGCGCCGCAAATTGCTGTAGACACGTGCATTCTGAACACGGAGTGTTGAAAGCTGTGTCGTTTGGCATACGGTCGTCCGAAGAGGGGTCGCAACGGCCAGGCATTGCTGGAGATAAATTGTGTTGCTTGGTATTCGGACCGCAGAGTGTTGGAAGCTCTGTTCATTGTCATATGAGTAGCCGAAAAGTGGCTGCAGTCGGAACAGTGAGCAGTTGGCGCGGCATATCGTCGCTGCGGACGTCACATTCTGACCATCACAGAGGCTGGCTGCCGGCGACGGCCAAAGAAGCAGCCTCTGTTTTTGTCAACCCTGACCATCCCGAAAGGATAGAAATGCATGTCCTCGTCGTTTCTGGGGGCGCAAGGGAGCACAAGTCTTTATCCTCCAAGCCTTAGTCTTGCCGTTTGGGCACTACATTCGTGTTTGCATTTTTTGCTTCTGGTGATTTGTGGCTGTCACCATGGTGGCACTGCCATCGCTGATGTCAACAACAGGAGTGTAACGGTATCACGGTCAAGGTGATGGCGAAACTGCCTATGATGGTGCCCGTGAACGACACTACAGTTGATGGTCATCTTGCGGAATGTGATGATGATGATGATGATGAAGTTGATGATGATGATGATGATGATGGTGGTGCTGGTGAGGGCGCTATGCTGCTTCTTGCTGTTCTGACTGTGGTTTCATGGTGCTTACTCGTTACCGCTACTAGTTTATCATCTTCAAGCCCTGGTGAAAATGTGACTGGAACCCAGGTCTATGCAGCAGTCTGAACCCCCCAAACCAGAGGTTCTGAAGCCACGTTTCTGAAGCGTTGCGCTTGACTCGGAAGAGGAATACAAAGATCTAGCAATGGTAGTCCTGAGGACAGGGCCGAATGAGATCTAGAATCGGCTTGGATGTCTATTACCCGTCATGAGAACTAGACCAAAAGGTCGCAGCTCGAGAGTGGCATCGTTGACAGACTCGATGCCGGGCCGTTTCTGCTCTTGACCATCATTCCATTCATCATTCCTTTCCTTGCCGAAACTGCCGTGGACTGGACGGTACACGTATATCCTATATATTCTTTATATTCTATATCCCATAGACTTGATCCTGGAAGTGGATGAAGCATTCAGCAAGGCTCAGATTCAGTCGAAGGGATGCTACACGGACCACTCTCGAGTTCTTGGTTCGGGACTAACAGTAGCGGGGTGAAAGAGGTTAGGAAAACACACCACCAAGATCTGGTTGCACGTTTCTGCATAGGGTAGCATTCTGTGTGCCGGCTGCCCATGGCCCTGCTTGGACGACACGGAACGAAGGCTTGAGGCATTTGTGCGTTGCTGCACACATTTTTCCCAGATTGTCCGCCCCAGACCACATTCTAGTTATTCACAACCCGGCAGCAGCATGTAATCTCTAGAGCTGCTCGCAGGGACACCCTCAGCTCGCAATTTCATTGCGGGACCCTTACCATGCCCGTATGCTTAGACTGCTTAGACTAGCACGGGAGCCGCTTGGCTTACCTTCAACCCGACATCACGATCTGCCGCCATCGCTACAGAATGCTAAGCTTCGGTGTGCAGTGTTTGGCAGAGCTGGTCCATGGACACAGCGATGAGAAAACCGAAGGTGCGGGTCGCCTGACAACATCAAAGACCACTCCACGATTCCCCCTGCAGCACATCAGCGCTTCATCCTGGACCACAGGTTCCGAAGCGCTTTTGTGGCTCCAAAGCGAAAAGTCTTGTGGCAGTCGGCAATTTACATTGACACTTGCGCAACGCCAGGGCCGGAACACCGTGGCATTAGGCAGCCGATTCGGTGTTCTTTGTGTCTCTATTTATTTGAGGGTGTTTGGATGGGAACTATCAATGCTTTCAGCGATGCTGAAACTCCACGAAGTAATGCGCATTCAGTTCACCCTTGCAGATCGGACTGCTGTACCATTGCGTTCAGGGGATTCTGAGCCTGATCTTTTCTGTGTTTGGAGAGCATGACGAGAGCTTGCTGACAGGCTTTTGTGAATCGCCGATGCCCGATCAAGACCGAGTCTAGCACATACTTGTAATGGGCCATGGGTGTCTCGAGCTCCGTGCCATGTGACTGCTCTCGGGGCGTTTCGCGGCTGTTGGCAAGCGGATCTTCAACTGGAGCATGCACTCTCCGGATCATCCAGATCACGGACGTCTACGTCCTAGACAACTTCCCTAGCCTGCGAACCTTAATCAAAGAGAAGTCCCTTGAGTTGCAAAGGAAATGTGGTGGGCAAACCATCAGCATGCTGACCGGAGACTTCCTAGCACCATATCTGCTCTCATCCATTGACATGGGCGTGGGCATGATGAAGATGCTCAATGGCACACCCATCGATTATTTGACATGGGGCAACCACGAGGATGACATTCCTCACAAGGACACCAAAGCAGGGGTTCGCAATTAAGAATTCGGAAATCTTAGGATGTCTTGCCAGGGTTAAGGATGGATTCTTAGTGGGCCTGTTGAAGGGCCGAGTTGCCTGCCTTTGCAGGAAGTGCTGAAACGAGAACGAGAGTTCACAGGGACATGGATCAACACCAATATGCAGACGCATGAGTCCTTCGCAAAATCCACGTGCCAAGTGGATGAGGAAGTGCTCTCCATTACGTCATTGGATGGAAGCAACAAGCGGCGGGTTGGCATGATTGGCGTGCTGAGCAATTCGCCCAGCCTCTACCGTCCAGGGGCCTTTGGCGGAGCCAAGATCGAAGACCCTTGGGAGGTCATGGCTACTTACAAAAGGAAGCTTGAGCAGGAGGAGGGCTGCGATGTTGTCATTCCACTCTGCCACCTTTACGAGCCCCAGGACGAACGTACCTGCCGGGACTTTGATTTCCCTGTGATCTTGAGTGGCCATGACCATCACGTGGTGGATCGGCTGGTCGAAGGCACTCGGCTCCTGAAGCCGGGTCAGGATGGAATCAAGGCCCAAAGCAACACTGATATACACTGGCACATCTTTGTCTATTTCTGATGTGAAGCCCCAAATGAAAGCCTTCTTCAAACTACAACACGACGGCCAGGCCGTGATCCTTGACATCTCTTGGCCAAGTGCCTCCAGCACCTCGCCAGCTATTGAGTACGAGATCGTCAATGTGGCTGACTGGCCGCCCGATGAGGCCTTGTGACTTGGATCAGCTCTTATCCAAAACATGCAGCGTGTTATGCACGAGATGAACACAGCCCAGGAAGCGCGTAGCGGAAGAGGCCTACAAAGTTCTGGATCCTCTGAGGAGAACCGAATTGGCCCAGGTGGCTTAGGGACGGGCACGCGGTTTTGGTGCAAGCTGTTCCCTTGAAAGGAGTGTTGATTCTTTTTCAATGGTGATTCCCTTGTACTGGAAGATCCGTCAAGTTAGCCGACAGCTAGGTCGGTCACAACATGTCGCAGCAAAGACTAGGGTAACCATTCGACACCCAAGACCTAAGCCGCAAGCACTGCACCCTTTTTCAGATCGTGCTGCCTTGAGGTGCCGAGCACTTATCGCCCCTTGACCTCTGTCCAGGCCGGGACTTCTTCGGGGATGGGTGCTTGGGGTTTGTTGAGATCCGGTTTGCGGGTTTTGGTATTGTTCAGGGACCTAGAAGTTTCCGGCGTTGCCTTGATATCTTTGACTCTGCGAGTTGAGTCATGTCACGCTCCCAAAGCAAGCGTTCGGCTCGAGAGCCATCACGTGTTGCACCTCCAGGCAAGAGGCCAGCGAGTATCCATGGGGACATATTTGCTCTCGCGGCTCCTTGGGCGGTGTTGAGAACTATAGTCTCCTTAGGAATTGTTTTATTTTATATTCTTTGTTCATATAAACCCGAAGAGAATATTAAACATGTTACTTGTATTATGGTTCTAAGGGGGGGTGTAGAGAATACCTGAGCATTTGGGAGCGAGGGGGTTTGACACGAAGGATTTGTGGTATGGCTTGGAGAACCCGACCTACTTGCCCAAAATCCTGGACTGTGCATAGGCCTTAAGCTTAGCAAGTTACCAGCAGAGGATACGCGATGCCCTGAACATGGACATGCCCTTGGGTGAGAGAGACTTGGACCGGTGCAGCGACAAAAGGGGCAATGTGGTGATGCGGGATTCGCAGAGTCCTTACATAGGGCCGGAGGGGGGGGGTCTTGCGCTTCCAACATTTTGCGAAGAGCCAGATGATTGAGAATTCATCTGCGTCAATGCTGTGGTCTCATGTGGTCTCCTGAGATCTTTGTAGATATCCTTCGTACATGAACTCTCAAAGCCCAAGTCCGAAATCAGCACCCTCGCATGCTTCATCGTGTGGCTGAGGATATGTCGATTGTGCCTTGCTCAAGGGCGGGAACATCCGGGGCGGAAGGGAGTACCAAGAGGACGAGCACATAAATTTGGAGGCGGGTTTAGGCAAAAGGCTCAGACCAGGAGATACCGTGTGCCAGCAGAAGGAGTCGTTAAAAGAGGATCTTGCGGAGGTCCTTCAGACTGAGATCGAGGAGGCGAAGCAGATCCTGGTGATCCCGATTCCGGGCTCTGTCTTGAGGGTGGGCCTGCGGGAGACCTTCGGTGCCCCGAATCCAGGGTGGATGCAGCCTGGAGAATATTGGAATCTCAAAGAAATGGCCCAGCATAGAGTAAGGTCAGATCCTCATTGTAAGGACCCCACATATTCCTGAGCCCGTCTCTACCCGCGCTTCACTTTCACTTTGTTGCACACAGCATGTTGGGACCTGGATGACATAGCTAGAGTTGGTGCAGCTGGCTGCGGGGTGGGGCGATCAGCAGTACCCCCCGGAACAGCTGATTCTTTGCCTGAACAGGATTCCCAACTCCCTCCAAGCATGAACCCAGACGAAAGTGAAAAGAGGAAAACACGGCGGGAGGGGTGGCAATCTACACCTCGCCGCAGTAAGTTTTGACACAGCTCTGGATATGGCCGAGAACTCATAGTCGGCTAATTCTCCAAAGAGGCGAGAGCAACGACTTGCACTTTATACAACGCTCCCTGCAGCAACACAGGCAGTACGATGATGGGGTCGAGCTGGATGCAGATGGCTATGTGACCCACATAGCCAAGGAAGTGCTGGAGGAGACAAGGATCTACAAGGCGGGCAAGATGTGCACCCAAGCAGCACGAACCTAGGTACCCAGCGTGTCTGACAGCATGTTCCACAGCAGGTGGCGAGCATCGTAGATTTCTGGCGCAAGCGCGACGCGCCCAGCATTGGCCAGTATTTTGAAGACCATCCGGAAAAGTTGCCCGAGCCGGACTCGGGAAGGCCTGTGCACTCACTGCTCCTGACCTTTTTCGCAATTTGGCTTTGTTACAGTTTTGATGTATACACGAGAGCGCCACGTCTTTGTTGTAAACGCCTCAATAGGTCTTCCTAAGAACCCTCGATGCTCCCACCCAGCCCGCTCGGGTTTCTGCTTTGGCCCCAGGCAATGCAGCTCTGGACCCGAATATGGAAGCTCGGTCCGCAGTTTGCCGGATTTGGCAACCAACTCGGTAAAATTGGCAGCGCGGCATAGGGTTCTAGGGATATTCTAGGGAATCAGGGTGTTCCAGGCGAGGTCTGCACGCTTTCGAGGAGCGCCAGACTGCAAGAAACAGCAGCCCGACTCCCCCCGGCAAAAGAAACAACGTCAAATCCAACACCTCGAACACAAAGCCCTGTATGAACACCCTGACCCGGCCCTAAATCCCAAAGTCCTCTCGAAGCCCTGAGCCGCTTCGTCAAGGAAGGAGCTGGGGCTGAGCAGCGGGGAGGAGTCCATCGAGCCCGAGGCCTTCAAAGCCCTGGACGCCGATGGCGACGGCGTGGTCTCCAAGGAGGACCTCAAGAAAAAGCTCCAGCAGGCGTCCCAAAAAGCGCACCACCTCTTTCTTTGTTTCAGGTCTTAGTCTTCGGTTTTTTCTTGACGTTTCGTAGAGTGGTGTCAGGGGTTTGGGGTTTCGTGTAGGTCGTTGGATCCATGCGAGGATGGCAATGAACGCACTTCAGACAAGCTTCCCGTCACTCTTGTATTGCCAACCGGCTAGCAGCCGCGTAGGTGGTTTTCTCCCGCATCTCGCACAATGCCCTCTGCCCAACGCTGCTCGTACCAATGGGCGGCAGGTCAGCGGCTTCGAGCATGTTTTCGAGGGCATGGACGTGCTTGTGGATAACATGCTGGGGGAGATCGCCAAGTTCGGCGGCAAGGACCCGGGCTGAGGGACTGCAGGCATGGTCG